GAGAGAGAGAGAGAGATTCCTACTTAAAGGGGGGGGGGGAGGAGAGAGAGAGCCCTCTCACAGTCTCTCTTTACCCCTGTGTGTGATTGAACAAAGTTAAACTTGGGTTGTTATATTCTTTCCAACCTGCCATTGATTTAGTAGCTATATAGCTTTACATATCTTATTTTCTTCTGCAGGAAAATTCTGGTGGAGCTATTTGAGGGTATCCGTGACCATGTATACACTCCAAGGCACAATTGGACAGTCTCGATACGTCAGCATCTCAATGAGAGCGCGGGTGAGAAAGGTTTAATTAGAGAATCTCAGCTTTTCAAACGTTTTTCATTCCTTGCCCACCCCTTACCAGAATGCTTATGTCGAGCATCTAAAACTTCTGGAAAACGTACTAGAGAAACTGCTGGAAATTTTACCCACATGGAAAGTAGCAGTCTGTTGCATAGTGTTGAGGACGAATGTCCCCATTGGATACAAGAACTTGTCAAAACTCAGGCGAAAGTGACTGACACTGATGAAGATGACTCTGATGAGGGAGAGTCACTGGAAAATCAAGAAAGCGAAGAAGGTTCACCAGAATCTGATGAGGCGTTTTCTGGCCGGTCATCCGAGCAGGATGACGAGATGGATCCTGACGATTAGTGGAATGGCTGGTTTGAATTTTCCTATTACATGGAACCAGAATAGTCTGGTTTTTTTTCCATGCCCTCCTTCCATGGCATTTTTTGGGGCCGCACTGAGAGTGAGCGAGGAGAGAGAGGGGGCATGATGTGCGGCTGCACAGGAATTCTTTTTGTACCATTGCTTGTAAATCCAGAGAGAGAGAGAGAGAGAGAGAGGGGCACGGGGAGGGCAAATTAGTTTTGGGGTGTGCTTTCTTGAGGGCCTCCAGCCAAAGGTATACCATTTGTGTGGCCTGTGAAAAATATAGGACTAATTTTTTCTGCAATTTGATTGTGAGGTGGTGTTTCTCAATTCGAGTAGTGAAATTGGTTTATGGCGAGCTTCGGCACGAAGTGCTTGTCTTTGGAATTTCAGGACCTATATAACATGGTCGGGGTTTTGGTGGTGTAATCATAAATATGAAAAACAAAACAAAAAAATTAAAAAATGAGCGATCAGAAATTTTGTTTTTGGTTTTTGGAATGTTCAATGTTGGGGAAATATCCCTGTGCTCCCAATTTTTTATTTTCATATATGAATAGATCTAGATATTTAAAATATATCTCCTAACCCTTGATTAATTTTATGTATTTTTAATTATGTTTTTAGCCTTAATACATATGAAAAAGACATGTTAGTTCTAAACTTTTTCTCTTTACCTAATATATTTCCCTTATAAAATTTTCCTTTCTTCTCTGAGATTCTTTCAAACCCTTTCTTTATGTAATTTTTGCCTACTTTATCTAGGTCTCTCGTTCTCTCTCTACCTTGTGTTTCTTGAAACCCCCATCTCTCATTTTGGGTTCTAAAAACAGGCATAATCTATATACAGGTAATTATCCATGTGAATAATATCCAATCAATTAATAGTAAAAATCTATAGAAATTAAGTAAATATATAAAGAAAAATAAACTAGGGAGAGCAAAAGAGTGGGAAAATAAGGAGAGAGAGAGAGGGTTTGCAAAAAGTCATGGAGAGATTTAGAAGAAAATCACGTAACGAGAGAAATGATGGTATTTAAAAATGATATATTTTTATTATATTTATTTGGGGCAAAATAATAAGTTTAAAAGGGATAAAATTTGTTTAGGGGGTTAGAAGATACAAGACTCTGAATTTTTATGATCCAAGATATGTTTTGAAACTTTGGGTTTAATGAGATATAAAATTTTAAAATGGGAGGTATGGGGATATTTTATCTAATTTTTATAATAGTCTAGTTTAGTATTTAAATTCTGTTTTTGTTTTAAAATTCACGATTGGAAATTTTGTACAGTGTACTCCCCTTTTAAAGTCCATCTTAGAGATGGAATTTGGATTTAAATTTAAGCAGCCAATTATTCGAAAATAAACAGAATTTGAAACTATATTATTATACAAGACTTCAGATGACCGGAACAAAAACAAAGTTAAAATCATGTGTTTTAGTTTTTTTTAGATTCAAAATAGTGGTGGCTGAGTTCATGGACCCTTTAAATTTTAGATCCAAATCAATATTGATGAGATAGATTAGAAGACTGCATATGAATAGGGTGAGTTGGCTAATGCACCAAAACTCCATACTTCTATATCATACAGGGAAACTGAATTCGTTACTTTCTCACTAAGTTTTGTTTACAAAAATCCGTGGATCCCTTGAGAGCTTATTTTCCTCTTTTCCTGTACATAAAAGTTATTTTACCTACCATATTCACTATCTAAAGGGGCATACGGATGCATCTGTAGCTGTGTGCACCTTCAAATTTTATCATGGTATATAATTTTGATGTAAAATGTTCTTAGGATTAGTTCAAAATTTATTTTTACATCTAACTATAAAATTGTAAATTTAAAAAATGGTTAAAATCAAGTAGATCTATAAACATATGAAAATCTTGAAAATGGACGGTGTAGGTAATATGTTGTAAAATGCACTATATCTGAGACTTAAAATCTTTTTATTTTCATGGTTATACATCTCGATGTCGAGATGATCAATCAAAGGGTTTTTCAACATTAAAACTACCTTTTCCGATGGATTTTTGAGGTGCATCCGTAGTTCTACATTATAAAGTTGCATCCTCGTATAAACTTTTTCTACATCTAAATGTTGCAAATGTTGCATGCACTAATCTACATACTTACCCTTAACTTATTTTCTCTCCTGTGAGCCCTTTTTATCACTCTACCCGTTTATGCCATTCATGAGCCGGGTCTCTCTCTCTCTCTCTCTCTCGAATGGATAAAGAAAAGAGCATGAAATTCAGTACGTCTCAGTTAGAAAGTCTTTAGTGCTGGTTTTGGGGTCAGTTTGATATCTTTTTTCAAGCATATAGAAAGTAGTGCTTGTATCAAGCTCTAATGGTGGGCAATCCGGGGACTTTTTTTTCTATAGATAAACTATGAGCCTTTTAGAATGACCGTGCTTGTATCAAGCCCATAATGGTTCACACAAAAAATGATGGGCAACCATTCCCAAGTGGCGTAGTAACGAATCTTATGATGAAGTCTTTGACTTCATTCTCACCACAGGTTAGGGGCTCAAATTCCCACGGACTTACTGTTTGCTTACCAAAAAACTATTCCCAAGTGGCATCAGTCATCTTTTTGTCATTTTTTAGCAAATAGGATCTCAACGTCATGGAACTCTTGTTGTTCTTGGGGATAAATCTTTATTTAGTAAGTTGTCTCAACATTTAGTGCAAAGTTATTATGGTGGCAATTGTGACACACATAGAGACAATTCTCACTATAAGAAAAAGGGCAAGCTTTCTATGCTTCCTTTACAACATAAAACTTATATACTTCCTCTTATCCAACCGTTCATTTTGAATGGAGGGCTAAGATTGCCCCAATCACAATGTCACGTCTCTACACTATTTTATTCTTAATTTTTTTCTATAAACTATTTTGACACCAAATTTTGGAATTCCAATCTTCTATTAAACTCTCACTAGAGAAAAATATAAAAAAATATTTTCAATAAAATAAAATGATCAAAATACCCTTGATTTTAACGGGTATTTTGGATATTATATTTTATTAAAAATTTATTTTTAATATTTTTTATAGGTGCGCCCCAATGAGAAGATGACACGTACCAAATTTCATATTCATACAATTTGTATAAAAAACTAAAAATAAAATACTTTGAAACGTCAGATCTAAGATCAAATGGTGAGTGGCTCTCTTGATTAAAATTGGATGGCTGGATGGTATGCGAAGCATAGATCTTTTATACTGTAGGGAAAATATAGAAACCTTTCTCTAAGAAAAGGACAACACACTCTCAATTGGGTAAAACCTTTTAAAATCAATCGGAGGATATTTTTATGATTTATAGTGCATCAACATTTCTCTTAATTTTTGGGACCCACTTGTTTAGATGAACTTTCTACCTAGAGAAAGATCTACGAGTTGCATTCTCTATGGAACTTCGTCATCTATGTTGATATTCCAATAGCCTGTAGCAAGTGATCTCAACATTTGCTGCTATGGATCTAATTCATACTTATCTATATAGATACATGTCAAACATCTGCCTTTCATAACAAATTGCTTTTGGGGAAATGGTCCTTGTGTACTCCTATGAGATTCAGGAATAAATAGTGGTCTACTCGAATAGTCTTTGATGACTATATGACTACTAATGCTATTGTTCTCTAGTGCTGGAATCTCCTCAACATTTTCAATTTAAGATCTAGATATATCATGTGGATCTAAAGTCAACATAGATCTCTTCTTGCTCAGGAACTTCGAGTTGATCAAAACCACATTGCAGGGTTCAACTTCTCTCAGACCATTCTCTTCATACACATTCATAAGAAATACCCTTTTTAGAGTTCTCAGCAATTCTAATAAAGACGGATTCTATGGAACTTATATCTAGTATAATAGTTAGTTAGGATAACAAAAACAAGTGACTCCCACGGATTCAAAAGGGATGAACTTAGAAGGGGTTTGTAGCATAGATCTTCAAAGGCACCCTATTCAAAATGTACACAACAGTCATAGCTCTCCAAGAGCTCAATGGGAAATTGCATATGCCATCATTGATCTCACAATGTCCAATAAAATACGAATCCTATTCTCTACAACACCATATGATATTACTTTTTGTTGACGAATTCCATGGTCATCAAAGAAATTCATGAATAGTATTGAGATGTACTCGCCCTTCTAGTTCTAATAAAGTTAATTCGTTTTAGACACTGGTTCTCAGTCTCCAACAGAAATCTCTATTCAACTGCTAAGATTTATGTGGAATTGAGTACACATATCCACAACGTGTGTAATCTGACTGTAGTTCGTTGCATGCCTTCGCACTGTACGGGTTACCTTTATCTGGAAAATGATAACTTAGAAGGAATTTAATCTTTTAGCCTTAGGAAAGGGTACTGGATTTCACATTAATTAATATTCACTTGTTGTATGCTTTGCTTTTGTTAATGTTTCCAAAAAATCTTCTCTAATTTAGACTTCTTCTCTCTCTGATATGGCACTTACTTAGATGCAAAAGAAACCGAAAATATCATCTGAACATAAAGAGAAAACGAAGAAAGATTGTGCAATTGAGCAGAAGAGAGGGGAGTGCAGAAAATAAAGCACTAGGACCAAAGTAAATAATTCATGCATAAGAAGTCCAACAAAGGGACCATCCACAAGGTATGTTTGAACCCAAACTCTATCACTTTTAAAAAAATAAGTTTATGGTTCGGATCTGGTCGAATCTCATCTTGGGATCATTTAGATTTGCATCATAAATAGTTTGGCGCCTACCATGAGGCATTTCGAGCTAGATCCGTGCACAAAAAAAAAAATTCCCAAAAAAAGGATTTCGCACCAATTTGAATCATATTCGTTATTTTTTGCTAAAATCTCTTATCAAAACAGTTTTCATCAGAGAATTTTCAGGAAAAACCTTTTTATGGGGAAGTACAAAGAGTCCGATCTTTGTTTTCATGCAGAAGTCCCGCACTTTTGTCCTCCTCATCATTCTCCGATAGCAGTTTTAAAAACCTAGCCGCATTTCTATAGTTAGGGACCTACTCAAACCGAGCCTATCCACAGTTTAGGGAAAACATTTTGAGTGTTTTGTTTTCTTATTACAGTTGATTAGTCTTAGATCTTAGTTCGGATCCACTTTTGGTCCGAGCTGAAACCTTCTGGGTCCAAGTCCAAGCTTGTACCCGGTCTAGCCCATGTTCGAACCAGGGTCATACTCAGGTCTGAGCCAAGGCTCATGCCAAATCTCACCTAGGCCTTAGTCCAGGTCTACACTCGATCTAAATTTGAAAGCTTCTGGGTCCAAGTCCAAGCTTGTGCCCAGCCTAGCCCAAGTCTGAACCAGGTTTACACCTAAGTTCAAACCTAGTCCCCCTTTTGGTCTGAGCCAAGGGCTCGTGCCATACCCAACCATGATCCAGTTGGG